TTGAGATTTAATGAATTTTTTTGTTTTCTCTCCCACTTTTTCTGCTCTTCTTCCTTCCAGGAAGGTTAAAGAGCAGGTAAAAACATTGAGCAGGTTCCTCACCATCAAGCACCTCCTCAGGAAAGCCTGTCCTCTCAAAGTCATTGTTGCTCTGGTTGTACAAGCCAAAGAGAAGGTAGTTTGCCAGCTCCCTGCAGCCTTCGTTGTATCGACTGTCGATCCCTGAAAGACCAAAACCACAGGTCAAAGGTTGTGTGAAGTAACACTGCACACCTCAAAAAGCTGTTTTCTTCCCCAATGAGAAGCCCCCAAAGCAGGAATATTAATTAACTCAACTCCTTCACGCAGGGAGCACTTACTCCTGTTGAACACACTGGGAGAACAGGGTAGGGAAAAGGAGATTTTACAAGTTCAGTGTCACATTCTGACGTGGAATTTTGACCTAAATCCATGGATATTGCTTAAAAAAAAATTTAAAAATCCGGTTTTCTGCAGTCACATGCCAGTGTTGTGTGAACTAACACTGAACATGTCAAAAGGTTGTTTTCTTCCCCAGTAAGAAGCCCTCAAAGCAGGAATATTAATTAACTCCTTCACACAGTCAGGGAGCACTTATTCCTGTTGAACACACTGAGAGAAGAGTAGGAAAAAAGGAATAAAAAAGGAATTTTTGCAAGTTCACTGCCACGTGTTGACATCCCACTTTTGACCCAAATCCACAGGTCTTGCTTAAAAAAAAGAAAATGAAATAAATCTATTTTTTTGCAGGGCTCTGCATCAGAAGTTCCATTTTATCCAGTAATTCAAACATCTGCCTGGATGCAGGATGCATTCTAATTAATATGTTCTTGATTGAAGCTTCCTAACAAACTAATCCCGTGACCCAAATCTCCTGCTTTGGAATACATGATTAAACATTATCTTATCAGTGTTATGGTGCAATCCCTGAGTCACCAGAGCCAGCCCAGACTTCTGGTACATCATGGAAAGGTGTCCTGACAAGACACAGGGAGTATAAAGAGCTTCCAAAGGAAAGCCTTTCCTGGTCCTTGGGAAAAATTGAGTGAGAACACCTGAAGATCTGGAGCATGAAGAGATAAAAGATAAACACAAGGAAAGGAATAAATGCAGATTTATAAAGTATTTCCATCTCTCTGTGTGACAGTCACAGCCATAATTCCTAATTCTACTGTAACAATCCAGTTTGCTCCACGAGCAGAACTGTGGATGAACAGCAGCCTTGACATCCACATTTCAGAGGTCACTTGACTGCCACAAAATTCCTCTAAAGTCAACTTTTCCCACCAAGTTACATGAGGATAGAGTTGAATGGTTGCCAGCAAATCAGGATTTGTTACCACTGTCCAGAGGAAAGATCAGGACACTGAGAAATGTCACAACGTGGCCTGGATGTGTCGGGGTTTCAGGACCTGAATGGGAAGTCAAAAGTCACCTGAACTTATCAGAAATTGGGATAAATCTCAGGTTTTCCTAATTATGCTCCATTTTTTTATCTTATGTTTCAGCTTTAAAGTGCTACCAAGATGCTGTGCCTGCATCCAGCTACTGAATCCCACCTCTTAATTTTCCCTGTTTGTTCATTAACTGGCCTTTGGACAGTTCTTGTGTGTTCCAAAATATCTGGTATTTGGTGTAAGGTTGTGGAACAGGCAAATGCAATCCCTTCAAATTCACAACTTACACCACTGCACTCCTTGGACTTGCCCAGAGATGCTCTGGATTCCCCATCCCTGGAGATGTTCAGGGGAATTGATAGAGGGAATATCAAGATACAGGAATATCACTCTCAGGTCATGGCATGGACAAGACTCAGCTAAAGGATGCTCAGACCCACTCACTCATTTCTCCCCTGCTGCAATGTTGGCTTTGCTGGGTCAATAATTTTCTCCAGATTTCCCTGGATTTGGGAACCCACAGAGAGGGCACAAAAGAGAGGAGAGGCAGGACACATTGTCCCTTTATTTTATTGACATTTGCAGCCCCATGAAAGCAGGCACAATGTAACCTGGAATTCAGTGGGACTCAGCACACTGATACTGCTGCCAAAGCCCTCGTGTGGAGGTGGGACTTTAATCACAGACAAGTGTGGAGATTCCCTTCATCCAGGAAACAACTGTCCCATTGTTTTAGGGAGCTACATTTCAATGGAATCAGTCTCCTTGGAATCAGCACACACAATGTCCTCGGGATTATCTGTGTCACTGATTATTTGTCCAACTGAGGCAACTCCTGAGGTTCCTCAGAGGAGCAATGATGGCACAGCCAGGGCTGGGAGAGCTGGGGGGGTTCCCCTGGAGAAGAGAAGGCTCCAGGGAGAGCTGAGAGCCCCTGGCAGGGCCTGAAGGGGCTCCAGGAGAGCTGGAGAGGGACTGGGGACAAGGCATGGAGGGACAGGACACAGGGAATGGCTTCCCACTGCCAGGGGGATGGGTTAGATGGGATATTGGGAAGGAATTCCTGGCTAGGAGGGTGGGGAGGCCCTGGCCCAGGTTGCCCAGAGAAGCTGTGGCTGCCCCTGGATCCCTGGAAGTGTCCAAGGCCAGGTTGGAGCAAGCTGGGCTAGTGGAAGGTGTCCCTGCCCATGGCAGGGGACTGGAACTCGATCACCTTTAAGGTCCTTTCCAACCCAGCCCATCCTATGATTCTATTGTTATAATTTCTGGAAGATCAGAAGAAAAATGAGGAGCTGTCCTCACTTTTAAAAAAAAAAAATAGTGATGATGTCACCACCACTTGAAGAGCTTGAGGTTTTATCTGGGTGCACCAGCCCAACAGGCTTCGAGCAGAGAAGATCTCCCAAGCTCAACACCAAAGTCCTGCTTTTTTCAGTTAATGACAGAAGGAGGGGGAGAGAAAACAAAAAGATGTTAAACGAGGAGGGGGGGGGGGGGGGGGGGCGGAGAAAAATAACACCTGTCAGGACACGGGGGAATTTATTCAGGCCCGGGGTGGGGGGAAGGCACTGCTTTCCTATAAAACCATTCACTCTGCAGAATATTTGGGGTCTGTTTGGGGTTTTAAGCGCCCGGGGCAGCTCTCCCAGTGAGGTTTAGCGTTACTCTACAGAAACACCGGGAGCTAAAGAACAGATACATTAGCGGAAAACAAACAGGAAATGGAACAATGCCAGCGATAAGATCCCCCGGAGAGCAGATCAGGAGCCCTCCCAGAACAATGGCGAGGCCATTAATTAGGAAAGCCCGACGCCTGCCTCCAGCTGAGCCGGGAGTTCAGTCACTCCCCCGCCTGTTCCCAGCTCGGCACAAGGGTGTCGTTAGACAATGGCTCAAGCCCAGCTCCCAGGAGCTGCTCCTGCTCCTTGGCCTGCAGTCAGAGAGCATTAAATTTGCTAAATTGGCAGAAAAGAGTCCGGCTAAACACGGGGAGAGAAAAAAAAATCTGCCTGCTCGGGAAGACGAAGTGGGGGCAAAGACACCAAAGCACCAGCGCTGGTGCAAAAATCCACCAGGGGAGGGAGCAGGAAGGTGAGGTTGGAAAAGGGGGTCAGGTCACCTCCAGGGATTTGCCCCAAACCAACACACTCCCAGCAGAAGATGCACAATGATCCTGGAAACGGTCTCTGTTTGGAAAAGCAACGGGATGAACGATTGGGGCAACGAACTAAATGCTCTGGGGATGTGGGAAAAACCTCAGCAAGGAAGAGCTTTGTGTGGGATGGATACAAGGGAGAAAAAACTAATCATCTAAAAAAGCAGTAACACTTGGGCAGATGGATACAATGGACAAAAAATAATCTAAAAAAGTAGCAGCACTTGAACAGAATCGAGATAAAACTCAAAGATTGGCTGGCACAGCCTGTAAAGCACCCCAAGCTCTCTGGGGAGGACAAAAAGCAAATGCCAACCTCCCAATTCCTTTTTCCTGTCAGTTGTGATGTCTTTTCTCCCCAGCAAAGAATGCAGGAATGCTACCAGGCAACCACTTCAAAATCAGATTAGGGCATTCCTTCAGAAAAAAAAAAATCAGCTGTAAGTACATTTAAAGACTTGTATCAATGCTGGGTCAGTTCTCACCCAATGCTGGGTTTAATTTCAGCACAAATATTAATGAACTTGAAGCAAAGCTGTGAAAGTTTATATTGGTTTTAACTCACAGCCCAGTATGAAACTAAAGCTGGGCTGAGGGAAGTGCATAACTCAGGTCATTAAAGGCAGCCAAGTGAAATAAAACATGCACTGACTGTAAAAAACCCCACAGTCAGGAGTATCTGCTTTCCACACAAGCCAACAGGACTCAGGATGTAAAACCACATGGGTTTGTTTTTTTTTTTGCCAGCTGAAGCTTGTATTTGATGACAGATTTAATGCATTTCTAGCAGTGACATGGAAGCCAGGCCAGAAATCCTGCAGGCTCCACGAGCCAGGTCAGAGCACACAAGGAGCCCCACTGTGGGTGCTGAGAGACCAGAGCAAAGCACAAACCTGCCCCCAGCACACAACTCCCACATTTCCATACCACAGGGGCTTTAGTTATTAAGAGGGGACTGTCCTGTGAATGGAATAAACCCTCCATGTGACACTGAGGATTACACAAAGCAGTTCCTCTTGCCTGGGACACTTTCCCTGGAGCTGTGGAATGTTTGGAGTGGCTCTTCTTTGCTTGGGACTTCCAGCTCTGAGCCAACAACAGCCCACAAACCCTCTGGTGTCAGTGGTGAGATGGCCCAGCCTGGTTTATGGCATGAAATGAGCAGCAAAGGCAAATTCCAAGGAGTTTATCCTGCAGGAACAAGTCCCACTGTGGAAGGCTGACACAGTGACCTTACAGACATTCTGACTGTCCAGCTGCTGCTCAGGCAAAGACTTCAAGCCTGACCCTGGAAAACGTGGGATGGGAACAACCACGTGGTACAGTTTGCACGGGCCAAAGGACAGGCTGCTTATACACATTTACAACTTTTCTCTGTGTCTTTCAGTAAACAAGCTCCAAATTTGCTTGCTAAAATAAAATAAAATAAAATAAAAAAACCAAACAAACAGGCTGCTGTATCATTTCTCACACAGAGCTTCTTTAAGGCTACACTTCTCCATCCTTAACTGTGATACATTGTTTAAACAATCACCCCTCAGTCCTTTTCTCTGAAGAATTTCAATTATCATTTCTGAATTCTTCCTTTAATATCTTGACACTGGTTGCATAAAAAGAAACCAGAGTCAATATTACATTATATTAATTATAATAAAGCAGCACAAAGCCCTGTTGCTTTCCCAGAGCACACTTGCAAATGCTCCTTTCTTTCCTACTGCCCTTTTCTCCCAATCCCAGAAGGAATAAAGCACTGGAACCACTGAGGTTGTTCATGTGCCAGCAGTTAAATCCTAACTGCTCCTGGGTTTCTCATGCAACTACTTGAAGTTCTTTGCCTTAGTAAATTAGTAAATGGGCTGAAGAATTTAGGGAGAAAAGAGAGCAACAATCAGCTGTTCCTTCCCCGAGAAACCAGGCTGGGGCTTGGGGCAGGAAAATGATCTTCATTTTTCTGGAATCTGTGGTATCTTTTTGAGTGCAGTGAGAATGAAAGGGGGAAAAATGTCAAACTAACCTAAAATGCAGAGGATTCCATCAGGCTGGGATTTGCTGCTCTGTGTCAGGATACTCTGAATGTTTCGGAGGCGGCTGCAGCTGCAAGAGAAAAGAGAGTTTGTCCTCAAGGTCACTGCTGTGAAACGTCAGGTTTGGAGGCTCAAGAGCTGACTGAGCTTTTTCCTTTATTATAGGAACTTCAACTTGGGTATTTTGTGCTTGAAACACATTCAGACCTCACATCAAACCATTCTGGGTTCTTTTTGCCCACTAAAAGCTGAAATCCAGAGCCCTGAAAAGACTGGAAGCTGGAAGTGTCCCTTCCAACCACGTGGCTCTGTTAATCCCTAATCTCCTGCACAAATTGCTGGGCAGGTTTGCTCTCACCAGGGCACCAGGAATTCCCTTCCCTGCAACCATGGGGTGGGTGGTGCCCACACAGAAAGGTGACACTGGGACTGCAAGGAGCACCCACATCCCAACAGGAGTTTGGGGAAGATGAGTTTCAGCACCTCCAGGGCACTCCCACCCTTAAAATCCAGGCACATCCCAGACCTCTTGCAAGTGCAATCCCAAAAGCAGGAATTTTTCCCCCTCTGTGCCCAAGGAAATCACAGGATTATTTCCACAAACCACGAAAATAAACAGTCAGGAAAACCATAAACCTATAACATATCTTTGACAACCTGCAGCAGAATTGTTAAATTTGGGATAAAACCTCCAAGATCATCGAGCCCGACATTAAAAAGAAACGAAACGACGCCAGGTCTCGCCAAGATTCCTCACAATCCAAGTGAGTAATTCACGATATAAATTTGAATTCAGTTCTTCAAAATCCACCTTCAAACCAGGGAAAAATTCCATCTACGACAGGCAGGCAGGCAAGGCAGAGAGCAAAGCCATTTGTGCTTCCAGGCAACGTTCTGTTGTTTAAACACAGATAAAAGACAAGACACTTCACTGTTGATATTCCTGAATGTGTTTTCTCGTTGACAGCTCCAGGAAACAAATGCCTCTCGCAGAAACACTCCAGCCCAGCTAAATTTATGAGCAGCCTTCAAACAAACAACAACAGTCGGGTCAAATATTTCTGTTTTCATCAGAAAAAAAAGCAAATAGATCTTTTCAGCACCACTACCATTAGCGTGCTCTGCTTTCTCTGAAGGACAAAAAGGTTTCCATTATGGGCAATCCAAGGGAAACCCAACATCCACGGGGAAGGACAGACAATATCTGGAATATTTTCATAGAGAAAAAAAAAATCAGTGCAAACCACTCCAGCTTTAATTCTGCCCCTTTTTAGGTCCCCCTCAATTATTCTTTTTTTGCCTCAAACTTCCTGGTTCCTGTGACACAGCCCAGGCTGGATCAGCCTGCTGGATGCATGAATGGCCAGCTGGATGTTAAATATGGCAACAGGAATTAAAGCCAGTGATGGCAGCAAAGAGACACTTCATCAACACCTCATCAGGTGCTATCAGATGTTTGCCCACGAAGGGGGTGCCAGGAAATGAAGGAAAACAACACTCAACTTTATGCTGCACATTTTAGCAACTTCTGATTATTCATTCTCCAAAACCTAACCCAAAAACCATCCCAAATTAAGGGGGGTTTATCTTATTCTGGGAGATTTTTGGCCCATCCTCAAGCAGGACCCCAGATGAGCTGGGTGAGATGATCCAATAGGACAAACTGGGCTTGGATCATTTTTTTCAGTGCTCATATTTTTATGCTTCCCATGTCACAAGACCAAGAGCAGAAAAACCTCACTGTGGGCACAAATTGGACTTATTTCATTTGTTGGTATGGGAACAAGCCCACAGTTATTTCAGGGCCAGCTGCAGGGAAGCAGAACTGCTAAAGCCTCTGTTAAAAAATAATAATAATAATAAAAAAAACCCAACAAGAAAATGAAATAACTTCATGTACAAAGCTGCACATCAGCAAAATACTTCTCAAAATGCCTCTCAGCTGTCTCCAATTCCAGGATTCCCAGATAGGTTGGAAGGACCATGGGAAAGCCTGGCCAAGGACTTCTGCAGGGACACAACAAGCAGACTTTTATTAAAACATTTACCAGTTGTGAGGAGAGAAACTGTCCTCAGAAGGAATGTTATAAATGTTTCTGTCTGAGGGCACAAGGGGGAGATTTTTCACTCAGCTCCTCAGAAACCAGAGGCAAGAATCCCTCTGCTACCTGTGTTCAGCTCTGAAGGCAAATTTAAGGAATTCTCCAGCCAAACACAGGTTTTTTCCTGGAGAGTGAAACGTTTTTGAAGCCTCTTGTGCATCATAAACACAGCAGGAATACAGAAATTGAGTTTGCTTTAATATTTCCCCCCACACTGATCCCCTTTATGATAAAAGAATGATTAGAACTCAGTTTGACAAAGAACAAGGTAAAAAACTCACAGGGAAAGATATTTTCATTTATTAAAAACCATTATGTATATTTTATATAGATATACACATATATATATGTGAGTGTGATACAAGGTAACCCCTTCCTAAGATCTTTACATCTTAATTTCAGTGTCTTCCCCAAAAGGGTGACCCAAACACATTTATCTTTTAAAGTAAAAAGTAAATTTTAAGAGCCTGTCCAAGGAGACCAGAGCAGAGAAAAACAAAAAATACACGTATTTTGTTGTTTTCCTGAGCTCTGAGAAAGTATTTTCTGGTCTGTCCAAGTCAACTCCAGAGGGAGGAAAAAAAGGGAAGAGGAACTGGGGAAGGAAAGTACCTGCATGTTCCTTCTGGGGTGGGTATTTCTTTTCTTCCTTAAAAATACATGAAGTTCTCAGATTAAGCTGCTAAAATACTTCTTGCCAAGTAAATCTGGGTGGCAGGAGACAGTCCTGACACAAAAGGGCAAATTATAAGTTCATGACTTCATAATGAGATGCAATAACTAGAAAGATGTTTTTATTTCATTCTTAACACTGAACAACCTTCAGCAGAATGTTTTGTCTCTCTCCTCGTTTAAAGAAGTGGTTCCTGGGAGAGAATCCTTGGAAAAAGCTCCTTCCCAGAAATATTCCCAAGTGTGGATAAACCATCCCATTCAAAGGCTGACAATAAACACAGCAGACTTGTGTGCCTGAAGAAAGATGCCTTTGAGAGACAGGGGAGAGAATAATTAGAATTCTTATGACATGCTTTGAAACAATACAGGCTGAACTGGGTATAAAGTAGGGGCAGAGGGGGGGGGAAAAAAAGGCATTTTCTTGCATTTCACATTAACCAGCCATCTGACAAAAACAAAGAGACTGCCCTGGGAACAAAAACCCACGGCTTTGCCCGACTCCAAAACAAGCTCCCTGCAAGGGCACTGACTTTTACTCCTCTGTATTTTTACCACAGCCACCCAATTTCAACCAGAAAACAGAACAGATGACAAGTTTTCACACCACGGCACGAACAACTCTGGGATTTGGGCTTCTTCCCCTGGGATTTGGGCTTCTTCCCCTGGGAGTTGTGGCTCTGGATCCACCACCTCCATTAACCACGATTAAAGGCCCAGTCATTTGTTCCATCAGGTGTGTTTGGGAAGCACAATTTCCCTGAAGCACCTTCCTAAGGAAGCCCCAAAATCCTTCAGGGAGATTTTTTTTCCCTTGAATGATTTCTCCATTTCATTCAATGATTTCTCCCTTTCCATGAGTTTGGACAAGAGCTGGGAGGTACTTATGGCTCCATATCCTACAAAGCAACTTCAGGAATGGCCAAGGGGAGGGGAAGTGGGAATTCTTCCCAGCACTTTTGGCCAGGAGATGTGATTTCTCCAGGCTTTGGAGGCAGGATAATGTGATAAACTGAGAAAATGATTGGGGCTAATTAAGAGAAAACAGTGTCAGGTCAATATGACCTGGAGAGAGAAAAGAAAAACAAATCTCAAAACTTAATTGGGCCCCTATAAAAAGAAAAAAAACAAGTTACCTCCCTTTTACCTTGTGTAGGATTTACAGGGAGAGAATTTTGTTTAGTTAGCTGGATAACAGCACCTTCCTTAAAATTTATAACTTTGTATAGATAACAAGCAAACATCTGCTGAATGCCTGATCTAACAATATATTATGGATGCTTATAGATAACATTCTTGTTAAGAAATATCTGTTGAATGTCTGACCTAACAACGTGTAACGTTTATACTCATGTATAATGAATATTCATGTAGCAGCTGGAAATAAATGTAGAACAACTGTCTTCTTTGGGGGTGTCACAGGCGTTGGGAGTGGCTGAACCCCTTCCCTGATCACCCAGCGCTGAATTTGCTTTTATCACATCGTAAATTCCGACTGGAAGTTGCCCGCCTGGGTTTCTGTTTCTCCCAATAAGACGCTCCAAGCCTCGCCCTTCTCGCCGCCTTTGTGTCCCCACCAACGATCCCGCAGCCGCGTGTGTCAAGTCGGATCAGCTGACGGATCCAAACAACCTCCAGGCCGGGAATTAGAAGGAAAAACCGACGCTTTTCCAAGAGCAGCAAAGCCGAGCTGACTGCTGATGAAGGTCAAAAGGCAGAGCCGCCGTTTGGGGGGACATCTGGCAACAAAAAAGGGCGTTTGGGCCAATTAAGGAACTGTACCTTGAGGTACTCGATTTTCTGCTGATCTTGGAGCAGATCCAAGATAAAAAAAAAAAGGGGGTGGGGCTGGAAGATAATTGACAATCATTAACTTCTAAGAATTAGCGCTCATCTGTTCCCGTCTTCACACTAATTATGCAAAGCGCCTCGCCTTCCAGCAGCCGGACTGCCACAGCTCGGGGACTGTCACAGCTCGGGGACTGTCACAGCTCGGGGACTGTCACAGCTCCGGGACTGTCACAGCTCGGGGACTGCCACAGCTCGGGGACTGTCACAGCTCGGGGACTGTCACAGCTCGGGGACGGACCCGGCGCTGCGAGGCACCGGCTGTTGGCAAATAAAGGGAATTATGAACAGCTCTGCCTTTCTCCAGCACAAAGAACGGGCACGTTTCCGTTTCTTTTTCCCCCCCGCTGCCGGCTGGATTTAGGCGCTGCGGGCGAGCTCCTCCTTTCCCCTGGGTAACCCAGCGATATTTCCAGCGATCCCGGGCAGATTCCCGGTGGATCCTCTC